TGGGCCACACCCCTCAGCGTCAAAGGATACAGGTCTGCTCCGCTTGTATGAGGAGCCGCGTGTCACAGGGACAGGTCCCCTTGCTCTCAACCATGATGAATATTAGGTTGGTATTCATCAGCTTCTCCACGTGAAAAATTCTGCAACACAAAATGTCTCTTTTTCAGAATCAATCAATCAATGACTGACTCAATCAATCAATGACTCAGTCAATCTATCAATCAATCATCAATCACAGACAATATGCTTGGTGAATAAACAAACACCTGCCCACGAATTTCACATATGGCACAGGAAAGAACATAGGACCTTTTAAGACAAACAAACACAGCAGCCTCATCCACACAAACAAACACTAAAATGCAATCAATCAATGAGAGTCACTCACCTCAGAGGACACAGATGCCCCCGCGTTCTTTACCACCATGGACATCTCGTCTCCTCGCTCTCACGTGCATACTACCGACATGGCAACATATCTTTTCAGTCTGCTCTTTCTTTCTTTCTTTCTTTCTTCACGGACAGTTCTCATGGCAACACAGGTACTCATGGCAACATAGGTATTATTTCGTGGTCCGCTTTCATCTTTACAACCTGTCTGTCTGTCTCCCTGACCACTGACCACGCGCCAAAGCTGCCTCCCTTTGCTGCGAAGACAGACAACCAGGCGCACACCCGTGGCTCCACACGGCCCAGAGAGGGCCACACCTGCGCCGCCTGCGCACTTCCTTTGCGCGCAGGGCCGCCGTCTGCTTTCGGCAACAGCACGGCGAGCACAGTTCTCTGTCTCAGCCTGCTGAGCACCTGCAACGGCAGCTGGCGTGACTGAAGCACAGACCGTCTATGTCCCTGGTCACGACCACATGGGGACCACACAAAAGTGCACGGAATCGAGGGCCGCACGCTCCCTGCAGGGCTCACCCCCTCTCGCGCTGCCTTCCACCTTCTCCCGCAACCGAGACAACAATGGAGACCTGTCACGGAGGGTTCATTTATTTCCCAAAGAAAAAGAGGATACGCTGTCTTTCTGGCACTGACCCTTGGACACAACCGCACAGCGATTGATTGATTGATTCCCGGAACCTGCAGCCCCCCTCGGCATCTCACATGGAGCTTCACGTTACACTGCACCGCAGTCAGCCAGCGTGAAAAGCTCACACGGCTCTCCCGAGACCTCACTTAATGATTGATAACAGGCCAAAGGACGCTCAACTCTCCCTGAGGTACTTGTGACCTGTGCAAC